ATACTTCAAACTTGAAACTTGATACATTTTACTGCCACTCGTAAAGCTAAATTTTGTTTGAAATTCAATATTATTTAAAAATTGATTTTAATGTATGATGTTAACATAATATGAGGAAATTTTTTACTAAAGAACTTTTTTAATTACATGATCAAGAGCGTATGAATTAAAATCGATTCAAATAATTTTAAAATCGATAAATAAAGTTTTATTGTGACGCAGCGACTTTCTTTGATTGTGGAAATCGCTAAAAAAAAAAAAAGAAAAAAATGTATAAATACTAATATTTTATTAATTGCAAGTGTTTACAGTCCCAAAGAAGATTAATTTATTAGAAGAATAAATTTTATTTTGTGTAACGTGAAAATATAATTTCTTATAAAATTTATATATGTCTCCAGTCACGCGATACGCAAATTTAAACATTTCTACAAAAAAGTATTCTTTGCCTCTAGTGCATCGAGGAGGGTGAGTGGATAAGGAAATTCTTTACAGGCAGAATTTATAAATTACCTATACATGGGGTGATAAAAATTTAATAATATAGAATTCACAATATACAGCCGCCATTGTAAATAAATTTCTTAGTTTATATAAATTCTTGAATAAACTATTGCTCAACGGTATTACAATATTCATTTTAAAAAAGATTCCTAAATTTGTTTTTTTTGCAACCAAGAAATAATTTGAATGTGACTCCGAATCCGTTTCGCCGAAAGGACTTTTCGCCGAAATCGAAAATAATTCGTTTCTGATTGTTAGCAATTTTCCAGATTTACTGACCTTTTTTTTTATTATTTCCAACGAAATTTTTTAAGTAAAAATGAAAATATATTATTTAATTGATTAATAATAAAAAGAAAGTTATGTTGAATGAAAGGCAACGCAGTGAACTTATAAAAAAAAATTCTAATCTTTTTTATTCCAACTAATCTGCAGACTCTGGACCTAAAGCTAAAGAAAAAAGAAAAAAAGGGAAAAGGTAAGTTTTAATGCTATTTAATCCAAAAGTCCATCATTCGACTAGTGATTAGATATGTGAATGGTTTTCTCAGTTCTATTTTAATATCTCTTTGGTTAGGCTTCAACACTTCTAGAATTAATTAAAACTATGAGAATATATGATGTTGATCAATTAAAAGATATTTTGATTGGGTTACAAGAAGTTTAGCTCAATTTTCTAATTTGGTAAAAATGATTTACCACAGAATTAAGAATCAGCTTCAGAACCGACGCTTAGTTGCTGATTTATATTATATTGTTATTAATTTGCGCTGATTTAACTAACCAATAAATCCTATTTTTAGTTTAGTTATGATTCTAATGCTATAATGCTTTGATGTTTACATGCTTTGAATACGAATGTAGGTTCAAGTTATATTCTTTCTTACTTATATGAAAGAATTTAATTTGTTTTCTGAAAATATTATTCTAACCTAAATTTATCAGATAAAGAAAACATTGATTGTATTATTTCTTACTACTTATAGCTTAGGAATGTCAAAGTAATTGAACATTCCAAAAAGACTTGCACTTTTTAGGTTCCTCTTCAGATTGGAGGTATCAGTTGTGTCAGTTTTTTTTTTTTTTGTTAATTTTAATTAATTTGATTTTTTTTTTGTTTTATTATTGTTTATAAGTATGAATGTTCTTATGCAGTAGTGATGGTTATGGATTATTGAGGCCCCCTAGTTTTAACTCAAACTCGAGATTTTACCATTTTGAATATTGTTTAGGTCCTATATTAATAGTTTAAATTTGAGATGATCTAATATAAAAAAATATCTGAAATTATAAAAAGATTTAGAAATGAATGAAAATAAAAATGATGTTGAAATTCCTTTAGAATAAGTTGAACATGATATCAATGATCAAATATGATATCTAAGATCAACAAATATCAAAATAATAATGTTTTATAAAAAGATTTTTATTTGGTTAAGGGAAGTGACATATATTATCTAATATTTTAAGGGGTGATGAGGTAGTCAGAAGGTATTAGAAAATCTTAGGTTACACATATATTTGTATATCACATGATATCTATGGCTTAGATTTATATTTAATATAATCTTTATTATAAAATTTGCATGTACATAAATATCATAAATGCTATAAATGCTATCATTCATTATCTGATATATATTCCCTTAAGTGTGTTTCGTTACAAAGAGGTCATTTTTATTGTGAAGAAAGAAAAGAGAAGTCATCAATTATCACTGAATTTTGTTTAGATTTTTTTTTGAACCGTTCACGGCTAACAGAATACATTATTCATTTATGATTCGTCAAGTAAGTAAGAGTTAAAAAATACTTATCACACTCAGAATAGCAGAGATGTGAATAAGTTGTTTTGTCAAGGGAAAGACAATGTGAATCATACCCAAGAATTTTCAAGAGATCATAATATTCAAAAAGGTGTATAGGGTTTGTGAAGTGTCCATCTCTAGCTTTTGTAATTGGAGGTAAAAAACCATCATTTAATTGAAGAAAATCCATAGCTTCTTTTGTACGAGATAGTCTACAATAGCTTGTATCTGTATACCTTTTAATATCAAAGAATATTAACATAGATTACAATGCTTTTCAATCCATGACCACGACATAAAACATTCTGGCGAATCATTTCCATTTTCTTTTTATTTCTTTTTTTGTTATTTTCATGCTTCCACTTTTTCTTTATCTATACCTTCAAATTGCAGGTTTTCAAATGGATTAGCAAGCTCTTCAACATATTGTGCATTCACATTTTTTCCAAAAATCAAATCGTGATGCTAAATATCACAAAGTGCCTCTCTGGTATATCAAAAGTTTTGAAAAGCCAACTTTGGATTAATCACTTTGCCTTATATATTTAAGTGCATTTCAAAGTGATCAATTGGTAATGTAATACCTGCCAATTTTCCAGATAGTATCGCCATATCTCTTTCAACATAATTATACTTAGATTGTTCAAGAGCGTATGTTTGTACAATCAAGTAATCTAAATTAAACTTTTAAAAAAGTTGACTATACATTTTAATATTCTTTAGATGCCTTAAGTTTTCATCTGGTCCTTCATCTACTAATAGTATCCAGATAGGTCAAATTTCTTCATCAGCCTTTAACATATCATCATATTGAAATCTAGAATGAGGCTTTTAAGGTCTTGCATATGTGTGAGTGAGGAAGTTTCAAGGGACCATTGATAATGTACAAAAATGGCAAGTTGTCCTATTCTTAATTCATCATTTAATTCATTTAGTTTGATCATAAGATAAACTGATAGAACTAACTTTTATTCATATTCTGCAAGAAAATCATGATCGGCTATATGAACAGGCTCATAAATTGATTGCAATGTGTAGAATGTTTGACCTAAGCAGGCTCCCCAAGTCCTATCTTTGCCTTGTTATCTTGAGAAATAACAATGGATTTATCGGCAAAGATGGTAGCAAACTGTCTTGTATATTTAATAGAGTAAGATAGTAGTGACTATCAATATGGTCCTGTATTTCAGTATAGGAAACTCCAGCTACTGCAATCTACGCCAGGTGATGATATGGTAACAGGTAATTATTTAATGTTGTTCGTGCTATACAGATATTATAGTTCTCTTCAAGGTTCTTACGCAGATTTTCAATAATTCATATCTTAACAACTTCTTTTCTTCATTTTTCATCAGCTACACTGAATTTGATTGAATCATGAATGTAATCATGTAGATTTAGATACTTGAAGAGAAGTAGAGGATAATCAGATTTATCATATTATATCACTTTCTGGTTTTCGATAAGTGCTTTCTTTTTTTTTTCTTTGCACTTTTGGGTATAATTTGAATTCCTTTTTAATTTTATGATTCTTTTCTTGTTAGATTTGATTTCATCTTTGAGTCCCTCTATTCTTATATACACATCATATCAAATTTGAGAATCCGTGGTGATATTGTAGATTTGCTCAAGTTCAGTAAGTTTTCCTTCAATTTTTTTTATCTCATTTGCTATATTTTTCTGAGCTGATGCATTAACAGAGATTTCTAATATAAGATCTACTAGATAAGTTTTAAGCAGAGAAGGAATCAGGTCTTCTCTAGATACATAAGATCTTAGTTTCATCATTTATATATTATATAGATTATATAGAGTAGCTAAGTAATTTCTAACTATATCATCAATTTCTGATTCATCTTTACTTTTAATTTTATTCTATTCCTTTATCATTTCACGACAAATATTAGCACGGTTAGGAGTACTATTTTCTGTCTTAACCATAAAACTGTATACATAAGCATCAGAGAATTCTTGATATTTATTTGCTGGTAAATTATAAATCAGTTTTTTTATTAAACTTAAGGCTAACTAAAAAGGTTTGACAGCTCATTTCAATACCAGAGATAGAATAATAACACATTTATTTTATGAAAAAAAAAGTTGAATATATCTGTTCGAAATTATGAAAAACTCCCGCAGCAATAGACATGATTAACATAATTCCATGAAATATTGATTATAATGTCAAAATATGATCAGCACTAATTTAGACTTGAGATTTTAAAACATGAATTTTATCACACTAACATTTTTAGATTTTAGAACACATGTAAATAAATAAGCCACTTATTTTTATATAATAAAATTTTAATTTATTAATATTATAATAGTATAATAATATATTATAACTGATATATATAAATTTTATAAAAGGAAAATGATTGACATTTGCATGATCAGAATATCTTACTTGGGGGTGGGGGGATAAATGCTTATAATAAATTAATATTAGGTAATATATATCACCGCCCTTATATAAATATAAATTTTAATTTACATTCATCTTTTATAACTAAAAACAAAATAAAACGATCAAGAAATACCTTTGTATATTCAGTAATTCTTAAGTTACGTATTAAAGCAGCAAAAAAACACAAAATGAGGATAATGAATCTAGTAATATTTTGGAATATAATAATACATAAAGTGTCATTTTTTATGGAAACACCTCAGAATATATAAATACAAAAGATGTTACAACTTTTGAAGAAGATTCAACTATTGAAAAAGCCTCACAAAATAACAGTTTCACTTATCAGAAATATTGACAATATGTTTTAAAATTGTAACTTCGTATGAAAAAATATATAATATATAAAATTTTAAATCAGCGGATTGAGCTTCTGTATAGACTGATACCTGAAATTTTAGAAAAAGAACAAGCAGAAGATGATAATGAATCAAGCATTTTAGAAAGGGCTGACGAAGTAATATATAGGTTAAATTACAAAAAAAAGTGATTTAAATGCTGCGAATATAACTATTAATATAATGTTTATAATTATTTAAAGGAGCTCGCATAGAATTTGAATGAATATGACATGAACATTGATAGTAGCTATCAACCTTCAGATATTGATGATATAGAAGAATTTTCAACTGAAGAGATTAATGACATGTATAGGTCATTGTTTGATATTATAGAAGAAGAACCTTTAGAGAATAGTAATATATTAGAAGATGAATTAAAAAGCTTTGAAAGTTTTAATAGTGAATACAATCCATATTTTCCAAATTTTACATTAACAATTCTTTTTGTCTGAATTACTAAACATATAATTTGTAAATATAAAAGCTTTCTACTATGTATATTTTTTACTATATATATTTATATAAATTTATTGAATTTATATAACGACATTTGCATATGAAAATCTCACCAAAATACTTATATACCCAAAATATTGAAAGGAAAATGTTATTACAAATATTTGTCAGATTTGAAAATGGAGAAATAGGTTACCTTTAGTTAAAATACATAAATATAATATACCTCTTTATATGCAATAAACATCATCTACATACGCATTTACAAAAGAAGCATTTTTTATTTATCTATTAACATATTTAGAACATATTTTAAATAATATATTGCTTATGCCTAACATGTATTTTAGATCTGAAGTGGTTGTGAACGAAAAATAAGAATTCTAGTATTATGATAGTTTCATAACTTCAAATAAAATCTCAAAAGGGTAAATAAAACTAAGACAATTATTCAAAGAATCACAGGTGAGAATTTACAATAACGTCGAAGAATTATTCTCAATATAATACATATGAGATAAATACAAAATAAACACAAGATATTTCAAAGATATTTCAGAAATTACACTTCAGAGACTCTAAGTCAATACAGCGAATCAATACAATATCATATAATAAGTTCACTTACAAAAGGGATTGCACAAATGCAAAGAATCACAGATAATTTGTAATAGTTTTAAAGAGTTTGAGAAGAATAAGTTTTATATTTAGTTAATTATACTCCTTTATTAATATAATATATAAATTTAATACCTAAAAGATTAACATCTTGTCAGTGCTAAGACTTAAAGAAAATACAGAGATATTTATACATATTAAATAAATAATAAAATAAACTAAACTAAATATATCAAAGGAAATAAAATTACCATTTTGCTAAGCAATAAAGTTGCTGTATCAATAAAATTATCAGATCTACAAGTAACTAAATGGATATTTATGATCTACGTGATTATTAAGGCAATAAAATTGACATCTAAGAATTTGCATAATTGATCAATAGCAATAAAATGGACAAAATGATTTTCATAAAAGATCTACATGGGAGCTAAGCTATTAAAATCACCTTACGGGACCCACCAACCAAAATTGTGATTTTTGATTCATATTATTATATGATCTATAAACTTTATTCGGTTAAATTTTTATTGTCGATTATCTTATTAACAAAAGCAAGCAATAAGGCCGTTAAAAATTTCTCATTTTTTGTGTAACATCAGTTGAAAAATCTAAAATTAGAATTTAGAAATGATCGACATTATTATTTAAAAGTAAAAAAAGTTTCGGACTCTTATAAAATTCAAAATTTTTAACTTTAACTATTATTTGAATGTGTGATTAAATGGGAGCTATTTAATGATGAATACCACAGCAAATATATATTTTTTTTAAAAAAATAAATATAAAAAATAATTTTTCTTTAAAAATTAAATTTTCTAATAAATTAGTATAACAATATCCCGTAGGGTGATTTAATAGCAAAATCTCAAGTGATACGAAATTATATTTAAGTATTAATCCTATAAAAATAATTTTTATAAAATAAGAATTAATAGTTAAATATTAAATAATAAATTTTAGTATCGTCTTATTAAATAATTTGACTCAATATTTAAAAATAGAACTATTTATTATTGGTGTGAAATGTTTACTATAGCATAGCATTTTTTTAATCATCATTTACTCACAATCAATTTCTTATTTCGTAAGGTGATTTTAATAGCTTAGCCCCAATATAATGAAATTTTACATCAAAAATTTGCAAAAGTTAATTAATGTTAATGATGAAAAAGTAATTATCAGTTTTAGTATAGAAATATTAATCCATATTGAGCTAAAAAAGAAATTTGCATGTAATAATAATATTTATTCCTTAAACAGTAAATATAAAACTATTTTTAAAACATTTTAGAAAACTTGAAATAATTTAATATCTAATAATTACAAAAAGATAAAATAAAATTTTTATATTTATCATATTATAATGTATCTAATAATAGTATTTTTAAACATTTTAAAATTATTAATTATCAATATATATTAATTTTTCAATTTTTTAATTTTTATACATAATTTATTATCTAATAATTACAACAATTTAAAATTTAATTTATTGGATTCATTACATTAAATCCTATTAAATGATAGTATTTTATATTTCTAAGATTAATAGATAGCAAGATATATGAATTTAAATTTTAATTTTTTTTTATAATAATTTATTATTTATTTATCTTTAAAAAATCACTAGCTAATTACATTTTTTTTAATTTTTACTTAGAAAACATTATAATATTTATTATAAAAGTATTAATTTTCTTAATAATATATTTTAAAATATTTAAAAATAATTAAAAAGAGTTGTAATTAATAAATAAAATTGCCTACAAATTTGTAGGCAAAACAATTGAAGGGATAATAAAAATGGTCGATAAAAGATTTAGAGCATTTTAATAGTACTATCGCTAAAAATATTTAATATTAATTAAAACTGATTCCTAAAAAATTTTTTTGCTTGAGGTGGATTTTGTTAAAAGGTATTTTTTGCTTTCAGAAGATAATAAATAATTTGAAATTTTAGAATAATGCTTGGAAGTTATTGGCAGTTCTAGTGATCCTAGTGTGGTAGAATTCTTTTAGTTAATTAATTTTTCTTTCTACTATGGTAAGGCTTATTCTTTTTCGGGTTATGATAGCAGATCTGATAAAATAAGATTTTTCTTATTTTCTTATTTTTAAATCAGATTTTTATAATTAAGCCTTCAAAAATTAATAAATAATTTAGATTATTATTCGATCATTTACATAATTATTTTATTTAATAGTTAAAAAATAATTACATAAATTGAATGATTACATCATCCATTACAAAGGCCAAAAATATTGATAGATGTGTGGATTGGAATCGATTCTAATCCTTTAGTGGCGCAGAAAGTGTGGTGCTGCGGTTAATTTTATTTTGATGATTCTTATGCAAAAAAAAAAAAAATGACGTTCAGATGATGTTAGTTGCAACGTTTTTATAATATTTTTTTTTTAAGATAATATGAAATACAAAAATAAAAAAATAATTTATTATATCGCCAAAAATTTTTTTTTTAAAAAAAAAAATACATATAAATAACATTTTGATTCATCCTCCGGAGGCATTTCCTTGCTAGACAATTTTGGTAAATCAATTCGGCATTATCTTTCACGTCATCGTATGAAGTGAGATTTTTTATTCTTGGAAATCATACAACGAGCATTGTTCTCAATGAATAATCTCGAATATTTTGATTCCAAGCAATAGGACCGACCATTAAGTTCATTACGAAAACATTCGGATTAATTGTATCTATCGTCGAATCTTCCCATACTGGATCCTCGGCCATAATTTAATATACAGTGTGGGACAAAAAAAATGAGAAACTTAGTCACGTGATCTAAAATGATCTACTTCGTCAAAAATAGATTTAATCTGCACCACCTTAATATACAATAAATGTTATGTTTATGGCAACGTGTGATAACCTTTGTGTTGCTAACACCCCTTTGCTTCATGAAAAAATTCCCACATAAAACTTTGTGCAATGACAAAAACTTATGACAAAACCCTATTAAATTTGTGGAATAACGGTATACATAATGCCAAAGAACTACATAAACTTACGAATGTTCCACTATCCACAATTTATAGAAAAATTGAAAAATAAAAAAAAATGGTTCGTTAAAGCATGCTGGAGGGAATGGTCGACCTAAAAAAATTACTGCAAGTGCTTTTCGTGCACTTGGTCAATATATAAGACATGATACTTCTCTTTCCACAAGAACTTTAGCAAACAAGCTAGAAAATATAGGTGTAGAAGCATCATATAGAACTGTTGGGAGGCACCTTTCAAGTATCGGTTATGAAAAAAGACTGCCTAAAGCAACGCCGATGTTAACCGAAGTACACAAGCAAAAGCGTATAGAGTGGGCGCGAAAACATATCAATAACAGATGGAACAAAACCATATTTACTGATGAAACAGCTTTTCAACTATTCAGAAATACACTGGAACGATGGTATAAAGGGGAAAGGCCGGTTCGGCGTATGCCTAAAGATCGTACAAAAATTATGGCGTGGGGTGGTTTTTGTTCAAAAGGAAAAACAAGTTTATTTTGTTTTAAACAAATCATGAACGCTGAGTTTTATGTGGAAATTCTTCGTACACATGTTCCTGAGATCTTCCAGATGCTTGGTAATCGTTGGCGCTTCCAACAAGACAATGATCCCAAGCATATCAGTCGTCTTGCAAAGGCTTTTCTCAAGGAAAATGTCCAGGTAGTTTTAGATTGGCCATCGAATAGCCCTGACCTAAATCCGATCAAAAAATTATGGGCGATCATAAAAAGTAAGGTAGAGAAACGTATGCCAAAAAATATTGGTGAACTGGAAGAATTTATGGTTGAGTGGCAAAATATCCCCGAAACCGTTCTAATCAATCTTTCAAAGTCAATGAGGCGACGTTGCGAATTAATTATTGAAAATAATGGCCATGTTAATTTTTTTTAATAAAGTCTTTTGATCGTTGCCGTGTGGCTTTAGCGGAAATAATCGAGGCTTATTTCAAATAAGGCTTAATTTCACAATAAATGATCTTTTGCTTAAACCAAAATGATAGTGGCTTTGTATTCTTTAACGAATAAAGTAAAGCTATCGTTAATTCGATTACGGGGCTTTTTTTTTTTGAATTTGTAGAAAATTATTTGACCTCCAATTAAAGTAGTGGGGGCTTAGATTCGGTTAGCGGTATGTAGTATTAGTTTGAATTTTAACAGTTTTTTTCTTTATTAACGGGTGAGATATTGTAGATTTTTAAAAGAGCTGTTGAACTTATTAGCCACAGAATATTTAAGCATGTTTAGATGTGGATTAGTCTAAATTAATTACTTGTAAACTTTCAATAATATAACCTTACTTTTTTATTTTGTTATTATAATATAATTGAGTTACCGAAATACCAACCTTTCTTAATGGATTCAAGTTTTAGGATAGCTTCAATCGATTTTTTTTTATTAAAAAAAAAGTATGCGCATTTTTAGCTATGTATGATTATCTAAAATTTGATTGCGCGAATTTTTTGAGAAATATTATTATACGGTAATCGGGAATGAATTAATTTGAACGTTATATATGATGAATGAACATTTGATTTTTTTTTTTTTTTTTTTCAAATACAATTAATTATAAATAGCATTATCAATTATTCTCTTTTTAATTTTTTTTTTTTTTTCTAAAACAAAATTTTTTAATTTATTATAATGAGATTAGTGAGGATAACATCAATTCTTGCAATATGCACAACGATAACAAATGCAATACCCACGTTAGACAAACGTCAAGAGTCGGTAGGAGGGGGAGCATACCCAACCTTCAATGATAACCTTTTTGAACCTTTCGTAGCATATGAACCTACACCTGAACCCATAACGAGATATTATAATTTAACATTATCTCGCAAAGAATTAAAACCGGATGGATTCACGAGAATGGTTTGGACGTCAAACAATCAATACCCTGGTCCAATTATACGTGCCAATAAAGGGGATAGGATGATAATTAATGTTCAGAATGACTTGGATGATGGAACCACGATTCATTGGCATGGACTTTTTCAGCAAGGGACTACCTATTACGATGGTGTCGCAGGACAGGTAATTGAACGAACACATATGTAACTTTCCATCTCTCATCGTTTACTGCCATTTAAAATCTTTTGACATTTACATCCATTATTTTCGCGTGGCAGACTCAATGTATTATTCCAGATAATGAAGTATTTGTTTATAACTTCACTGCGGGTAATCAAACAGGAACTTATTGGTGGTAAGTAATGATGCAAACATCGCACTGTTCAATTGTTATCGATGATGTTGCGCGTGAACTAAAAAAAAAAATAACTATTTATAGGCACTCCCATTTTCTTGCTCAATATGTGGATGGGCTAAGAGGTCCGCTAATGTAAGTATATTTATTAATTTCTTTCGTATATTAGTTCACAAGATTTTTTTTTGGGAGAAATTTTATTCTAACAAAATTTTACATCTCGCATCAAAAGTATTCACGACCCAAATGATCCTTTCCTAAAAGATTACGATGAAGAATTTGTAATGACTTTGTCGGATTGGTACCACACACCGTCGGTGGGTCTAATAGCGATGATGGATACACCCGGCTATGATGCCGGAAATGTAAGTTGTCGCGAAATCATTTGAAGTGCATTTTCGATATTTTCATTAAATCGTTCGAAACCTATAATATAGCCCATCCCTGATTCGGGGCTTATCACCGGTATTGGAAGATACGATTGCAATAATGCGCCTCCAGGATCAAAATGCGAGCCAAACAATCCGCTTGCCGTTTATCAAGTCCAACAAGGAAAGCGATATCGTCTCCGTATCATAAACACAAGGTAATCATGTTTGAACCAACTTTCTCGTTGAGTTGGTTTCATTAAATACCACTTTTTTAAATAGCGCGGAGGTAACTTTCACCTTTTCGATCGACGAACATCCTTTAAATGTCATCGAGTGTGAAGGTGAAAACCTCAAACCGGTCATTTTTAATAAAATCAATATCGCTGTCGGACAAAGATACTCGGTGATTATTACAGCGGATAAAGAAATTAAAAATTATTGGATTCGTGCCGAAATCGTGCACGAATGTATAAAGGCTTATACAACTGAATCAAAATTAAACCTAAACGTTACAGGTATATTAAGATATCAAGGTGCACCCGATGCGGATCCAACTACGCTAGATTGGAATGAAGATACAGTTAAATGTCGAGATATCGATCATAACCTATTAAAATTATATGAACCTAGACCTGCTCCGGAACCTGTAACAGATTCATTCACCTTCCATATTACATTTGGACAGAATGAAAGGAATGTTTTTAAAGCTTTTATAAATAATAGTTCTTTTGTCCCTGATATATATGATCCTACCGTTAATAATATCATGGCTGGTGGAAATATGGAAGCCAAGGATTTGGAACCGAATCAAAATGCTTTTCTTTACGATACTGAAAACGGTGTTGTTGAAATTATCATACTTAGTAAGTCTCCTCCCTCCCGTTTGAATGTGAACCCACTTTTAAGATTTTTGAATTAACTATTTACCTAATATAACTATAGATGAAAACAATGGCACACATCCTTTTCATTTGGTAACGTGTTTTTTCGCGTGAACTTTGCGTGAACTTTTTGATGATGCGTTGTTAAATTCAAATTTTCCTTATTTATATAGCACGGACACAACTTCTTCATCTTGGGTCATGGGGAAGGAAATGTACCTGATCCATCTCAATACAATTTGGTAGACCCTGCTGTACGTGATACTGTAACCATTCTTGAAAATTCGTAAGTTTGTTATTTATTGATTGATTGATTTGTTTATCTTTTGGAATGATAATAATAATAATGAACTTTTATTTGGTTTAGATGGACCGTAATTAGATTCAGAATCGATAATCCAGGAGTATGGGCTTTCCATTGTCACATTGAGGTAAATTTAAGCAACTATCAAATCTATAAAGTCACGTTCTTTTTCTAACAATCCACTTTCTTTATATGTAGTGGCACGTTGAAATGGGCATGGTAGGACAACTTATCGAAAGGCCCAGTGTTCTAAAAACTATGCCAATACCACCAGGAGTGTTGGAATTGTGCCCGAAAACTCCCGCTCAAAAAAATGCGGCAAGAAAAAGATACGAAAGAAAGCGTAGTAATTATCATGTAGAATTTACACGTAATAGCCTCAATTAAAACTTTGATGCTTAAAGGAATTCGGGTGGAATGCTTTTTTTTTTTTATTTTAGAAAGAAACAAAGATGGACGATTCAATTCAATCGAAGAGGAATAATGATTATTAAAGGGATTATATATTCATTTATTTTTTTTTGTAATATAAAGGAAAAAAAAAAAAAAACCTTTCACATCGTTTCGTAGTTATATTGTATATTTAAGGAATATTGACATTTTCTGTAGCGAAAAAGAATAAAAATTCGAATGTGCGATTTTATAGAAATTATTTTTTTTTCTTACAAATAAAAAAAATAATAATAATAATAAAATATATAAACTATACAGCATTAGACACCATAGCAA